TCATAGCACCTATCTCATGTAGTTTGATGCACGGTAGTTGACAGTGCTAGGTCTCTGGCAAGCATTGGATAAGAATGAATTCATATTATTGGAGATAACCAGACTCTAAATCATTATGCTTTGAAGGATCCTCTCCCAGGAACTTCATTACTACCTGAGTACTGAGCCAGTCTCTGTTCTCCTCTCTGCTCATTTTCATTGGTATGTGGCTCATCTGCGTAACACATGCAATCCAAGGACTTTCAAGAAACCTTTTGGAGAATAAAAGGAGGAATTGATGACTCCTTGAGGTGTTACAGTTCCAATCACTGGGCTTACATAATTGCTGACAAAGTTGGCTGAGTATTGGAGGAAGTAAAAGTGACTCCAAGGTTCCAGTAAAATAGTGGTCATTTATTTTCCTCTTTAAATCGAGAAATGACACAGTAGGCATTTGGTCACAAGACCTACCTTGCTGCCTAATGTGCAGAAGCAGTGCCCCAAAGTTTGCTGTAGCATTGGTGCAAGGATAAAAAAATACCTAACTTAAGGGCATACACAGCCTAGGCTTTGTCGTCAGATAGAGCTGGGTTCAAGGTCTGGTTTGGTACTGCATTGGACCTTACAAGCTCTGTAGCCTTGGGCAAGTGATTAAATCTCTCTGAGCTTCAGCTTCCTTAGCAGAAAATAAAATAATACTATCTACAATACAGGATCGTGCAAGGATTGCAGCAAATGAGAGAATGCCTCTTAAGTCTTTGGCAAAGTGCCTAATGCAGAGTAGCTATTATTATCTTTATTTATTATGTAGGATTTAGAATAATAAAGTAAAATAATGAGGGGGGTAATTGGGAAGTTGAAGAGGGCTATTCAGTGGGAAGTCATTTTGGTTTTGGGAAAATTCTTAGTCATAAAGACATGTGTTAGACAATACTCATGTGAATTGGCCAAAAACAAAACAAAACTCGAGGACTGTATTTGTGACTAATTGTATAACAGGTTATTTTAATTTCTGTTCTGTGGAAAGTGCAAAGCATTCCAACAAAGGGTTTTAATGTAGGTTTTTTTTTTTTTTTTTTTTTTTTTTTGCACCCATGCTGTTGATTGCTAAATGTAATGGTCTGATCATGACACTGAATAAATGTGTCTTTTAAAAAAATTTTCTTCTCTTCCATTATCTTTGGAAGGATTATGATGTCCAACTGGATTACAGTTTTAAAAGATTTTGGGGTCAGGTGAAATACTTAATTGGGAATTAAGCAAATGGGAACAAAAAGAGAAGATCGGGCCAATATTTTTTTCTAAGGAGCACTTCTTACTCAAATATTTCAACTTTTTTTTTTCTTCACAGTTACAGAGAATGGGGCGTGATGTCATAATCTTATGCTAATCACAAATGGATTAGATAAGGAAGATAAGAGAATTATCTAGGGAATAAGTGGATATTCTTGCTTTCTTACTTGACCAAATATATGAGCAATACTGTTCCGAAGATTCCATAGAAAGGGCCAAATGTGATGAAATAGCGGATGTAAAAACTGCTGACCCAGACAATGTCCTGCGGAGAGAAGTGTCTGAAAGTTAGATGCTCTGAACACAATCTCATTTCCCCTTCATTGGGCTAGGGTCCCTTCATGTACTGGCTAAATCTTATGTCTCGCTATTCAAAAAGCTCTATCTGGAAGAGACTAAGCATTTTCATTTCCCATTTTCTACTTGATTTAGCTTCAGAGAATGAGTTGTTACTCACCCTCCAATATCTTCCGAGGTACATCACTTGCATGGATTGCAGGTTGGAATATACTGGCATGAGGAGGGGAAGCCCAACTGAAAACAACAATAATAACAAAAGATATGTTGAACAAATGAGTAGAATGTGTCCTCAGTGCAAGTCAGCAGGGCTCTATCTCCTTACCATGCCACCCTGCAATGTTGCCTCTGAGAAAGACAGCAAGCTTGAGATCCAAAATGGGATTTTTTTATTCTAGGAGGCTGAACCAGGAATTTGGTTCAAGCTCCCTCAAGAAGATCAGGGAAGCTTTCAAGATTTGAGTCATTCTTGATGGGGGCATCCTAAGAGAGCTTTTGCTGTGAGCTTTCAAGTTATCTCAAGGTCTATGGAAACCTTCCATCCTTCACAATCCTCAGGCTAGGGCCTGGTCACAATATGTCAAGGTAGCAGAAATAAAGAAGCTGTACTCCTTTCTTGGCTTAAGAATCATTTACCTGCCTTTCCCCCAGGATCAGTGAGGCCAGAGCACACACTAGTCTTATGGAGAACCTTTGGGTTTTGACAGACTCTCTCCTTGACCACACTTTAGTCAGGTCCTCTGAGTCCTCTTCTAGACTAGGCTGTGTCCGCCTGCAAACTCTCAAACTATGTAACCTCTCAGCACAAATGATTTCTTCCATCCCACATACTAAGAAACTTGAAGAAATACTAGCATAGTTTCTAACAGCTCAGGGCCACATCCCTGGGATGCCTTTCTTTTCTTAGAGCATTTATGTTAGAAATCTTACAATTGTAAATGCTTTCTCTGTCCCTCTGAGATGTATCTTCTATGACCCAGAAATGGCTTCCTTAAGGACTTTATTCTTTTCTTCTTGTAGGTGTTTAGTCTTTCCACAATTAGAGTTCTAGATTTAAGACTCTTTGATTGGCATCCTGTCTTCCATCCTTATCAGAGCATTTCTTTCCCTACCCAATATCCAGAGTGATGAAATGCCTATTAAAGATTCCTATTTGCTTCTCCATTTTTCCTTTTCAGTTTTCCACACCAGTAAGTCTAAAAGAAGGCATTCTGCTTTTCTCAGTTATAAGATAACATGGGCTGGTCTCTCTGTGAGAGCACACCAGTCATGTCTTCTAGCTTGACTACTGCTTGCTTTAAGGAAATGGAATGATAAGGAATTTGGCTCCAAGGAGACTCACCCATGTAGAAGTAAAGGTGCTGCTTTTCATAGTCAATGTATTTGATTTTCTTCTTGCCATACTGAATGGAGAGAGAATAAAACTTAAATAAGTGACAATACTTCTGGCCATTACACTCAAGGACATCTGTGTGTTTGTGAGTGTCTAAATCTCTACAGAAAGAGCCATCTGATCAGAGTTCATTGGTTGTTGAACTTAAGGCACTAGAAGAAGCAGAGGTGGAGTGGGGAAAAATATTGTGGCATCTTTTTGCCTTAATTAAATATGGACAATTCTTGTATAGATGGTTTATTCCATTTGACTATGTGGATTATGCTCATTTTTTAAAAATTTTATTACCATAGAAGCCATTTTGAGAACTTTTTGGTCCTTCTGTGGAGTGGTGATTAAAAAGGCACATTTCTGATGAGTTTTTCTAGCTCTTCTTTGACAGTGGTGTTTACAATTCTGCTTGAAGCTCAGTCTCTATCTACCTTCATTCAATAGATACCATGTGATAAAAGATACAGGCATGGCCTCTCCTATCTGTTCCATCTTTCCTCATTTGTGTTCTGATCATGGATCTCATGCTGTAATTTACTATTTGTAAAGCACAGTGATATTATATATATCAGTACTGGAAATTTGATTTATTTTCTATGGGTCTCCTTCATTCATTTAATCTGTTCTTAGTGCATGAAGACAGAAAATACCTCGAGAGGAGGAATAAAAGTAATGGTTATATCTTCAATAACTAGCAGGCACTCAATAAATATTTAATTGAATGAATGAATGGTAAGTCACATCCTGCTGTATATTTTATCTGTATATTCACTCAGTTACACTATGGGCAAGGTTTGACTCTTGCTTTCCCCATTCTTTTAATACTTTCCCACCTACATATAGATTTCTTCTCTTATTTGGAAAGTAGGTCTGATCCTTTCTTCTCATATTGTTATAAATAAAAAGAAATATCATGGTGATGACATAATAACAGCTATTTGCAGTTACTCTCAAACTTCCAAATATTTAAGTAGTAGGAAAATGGAAAAGGAAATACATGAAGAAAGTTTGGGAGTTAGCAAAGCTAGGAGAAAGGCTGTTTTTTAAAAAATATATATATATATTTTATTGATTTTTTACAGAGAGGAAGGGAAAATGATAGTCAGAAACATTGATGAGGGAGAAACATCTATCAGCTGCCTCCTGCACACCCCCCAACTGGGGATGTGCCCGCAACCAAGGTACATGCCCTTGACCGGAATCGAACCTGGGACCCTTCAGTCCGCAGGCCAACGCTCTATCCACTGAGCCAAATCGGTTAAGGTGAAAGGCTCATTTTGAGTGTCATTCCAAAGGAGGATGTTAAGTCTTCCAGGAGCATAGGAACTGGCACATAGAAGATTTCATTAATGCTTGTTGAAAGAATGAATGTTTGAAGAAAGTGATAGAAATATTGACAATAAAATGTGAGAATGCAAATATTCTAGACTCATCAGAACTATTTTTGATGTGAAACAACTGAATTTTAGAGTATAAATAATTTTATATGTTTTGTGCAGTAGCTTTGAAACTATGTTATATAGATTCCTAAGATGCTAGGGATATGTCCTAAGAGCAACTGTAAAACTTGGGGAGGTGGCCCCAATAATTTGTGAAGCTCTAGAGAAGCCCCTTCGGAAGAAGGTCAAGCTGCTTCATGAACTTCAGTGAGACAAATCTCTCTTTGTCAGGGGGGATGATAAATCAAGTGTCACAATTTTAGTGATGAGCATGAAGGTCACAAACATCAGAGAGGTCCAATTTGTTTGTGGAGCCATGGTCAAAAGCAACTGATTCACAATCACAGCCATGGATTTTGTTTTTCAAAATATAGGCAAGAGAATTTGTTTCCTAATTCAGTTGGAAAAGAGAGTACTACAAGACCCAGACAGCAACTGACTAAGCTAGATTCTTATTTTTCTAAAACTCCAGAATAGTCATAGTCCTGGGAACATAGCAGATTCTTCCTAAGTACCCAACTCCCAGGATCCATGTCCTCAGACCTCCTATATTGAATGAAGACTTCAAAGAAACTTGTTGATTGTCCTTTACATGATGACATTAAGTGAGGTTTTTAAAAATATCAACCACTGAGAAATTCTGGAGTTGACTTTTTCCTTCCTTTTTCTATATTTTAATTAATATAAATTAGAGGTGGGGTTTCTAAGTATCTTAAGAAGCATTTGGGCTGTGGTTCATGTGTAAATGTACCAAAACAAACACAAACTAAAGTGAATAGCATTGTCTCTTCTAACTGAGCTAGAATTAGTTGAAATAATTAGATTTAGATGTTTGTGCTTTAGTGCTTATTGAATGTACTGACCTGTTTCCCTGAGTGAATGTCTCCATATTCTTGGAGAGTCATTGCTGACCTCACATCACCTGGTTTTACTACCTAACATTAGTATATGTTGCTTCAAAGCTAGTGACAGGAAGTGGGCAGGTATCTGCTTGTCATCGGGATTGTTCAAGCAGAGTGATATGAGTTATATTTCTTACACTATGAGGTTGTACTGAATGATTTTAAGGACATAGAGTCATGCACTCCACACCTCCTAATTTTACAATCCCAGGTTTAGTTATTTCAAATCTACATCCTGGACTTAAAAAGAGAGACGTTTTCAGAACACGTGTGAAGTTGGAAGCTCTAGCTTGATCTTTCCAAAACAAGGCAATATGCCTTTCTAAGAACATCTTCTAGGATCTTCTAGAAACCACTTCTAGGAATTTCTGTTAGCCAGGACTTCTATGCGTACCTTGATAGGTTGCAAATCTCCAACCAGGAAAAGTGGACCCACATCAATATCTGGGTCTTTTTGGTAAATGTTTGTTTTTGTGTGATGTTGGAAATGTCGGTGATTCCACCATTTCACTGACAGGCCCTGAGGAGAAAAGAGGATTCATTAGTGGTGGCAAGATTTCTCTTTTGAAATGCCCTTCAGAATTAGAATTTTTTACATGCATCTCCAAAGTCAAAAGATATTTGAGCTTCTCAAACTTGCTCCCACTGCTGGGTCACAGAATGATTCATTGGACAGGCATTCTCAAAGCCTACAGACAAATACTCATATGAGTCAGGAACATAAATTCAGGCTCAAACAACACCTGATGGTAAAAAATTATAAGAATCTGGTGAAATGAAACAGTTTCCTATGTTTCTATTTTCATTCTCATTAAAAAAATTCTGGCCCTAGGTAGTTTGGCTCAGTGGATAGAACATTGGCCTGCAGACTGAAAGGTCCTAGGTTTGATTCTGGTCAAAAGCAGTTACCTTGGTTGCAGGGTCCTTCTTGGCCCGGGCCCTGGTTGGGGCTTGTGCAGGAGGCAACCAATCAATGTGTTTCTCTCACATCGCTATTTCTCTCTGTCTTTCCCTCTTTCTTCCTCTCTCTCTCTCTGTCTCTCTCTCTCTCTCTCTCTCTCTCTCTCTCTCTTTCTCTTTCTCTCTCTCAAAAAAAATATCCTTGGATGAGTATTAAAAAAATATTCTTATAAAAAAATCTGGATGTAGGTGTGGCAGAGAGTAGTTTTTCTATTTAAAAATCTAAAAGGAAACCTCAGCTCTAAAACTTTAATTAGTTGTGTAGAAAAAAAAGGCCCCAGGAATTCTACTTCAATGAATATTTCAAAGAATATGGATTTGAAGTGATCTCCTAGGGGAGCTTGGCTCAGATCATTGCATGTCCAGGCTTCAGTGCTCTCATCCTATCTAATAAAGAGGGAATATGCAAATTGACCATCACTCTGCCACAAAGAGGGAAGCACCCATAGCCACAAGATGGCAGTGCCCAGTCCCCTCGGCCCCGCCAGAGTCCCTCAGTCCTTTCAGCCCAGCAGTGCGAGGGGGAGGGGTAGAGCGGCAGGTGCACAGTGCAGCTGGACCCACCCTCAGACTCCCAGCTTCCCAGGGCCGGTCCGAGGTGCAGGTAAGCCTCTGATGTTGGCTTGCCTGCACCTTGGGCCAGCCCTGGGTGGCTGGGGGGCTGAGGGCGGGCCCAGTTGCACTGTGCTCCTGCTGCCCCCCCCAGCTGGTCTGAAAGGACTGTGGGACTTTGGTGGGGCTGAAGGGACTGGGTGCTGCCATCTTGTGGCTATAGGTGCTGCCATCTTTGTGATGGAGTGATAGGCAATTTGCATATTCCCTCTTTATTAGATAGAATTTGACATCTCTCAATGACTGGCCAATACATGTTTTAGATCTTCACTAGCCAATACAGTAGCCATAGCCATATGTGGCTATTGAATATTTGAAATGTGACCAAATTAAGATGGCTTGTAAGTGTATAATGCATACTGAATTTTGAAGATTCAAGATAAAAAAATACAAATATCTTAATAATTTTTAGACTGATTACCTATTGAAATGATGATATTTGAATACATGGAGTAATAAAATTACAATTCAAAATGTGGCTATCAGAAAATTTAAAGTGACTTACCAGGAACACACTATACAACTATGGTACAAGAGATGGCTTTGTTTTAAAAATCTGTTAGCATTGCCTTCCCATAGTCTTCACTGCAGTTTTCTCTTAGCAATCCAAGCCCTCAATCATCAGGAGCAGTATTCTCTTCTAACTTCTAACATTCCCTAATGTCCTTCCAGTAGAATCTCTCTCCAGTCCAGTGCTCTCTCCTGAATCTCATGCTTGAACGGGAGATCACTTTCAAAACATTTCCTTTGGATGTCTCATGACATCTCAAACTCAACATGGAGTCATCAGTTTCTGTTGCCCCTTTTGGGGCTCCAATGGACTCTGCATTTCTCCTATCAAATTGTACATCACCCACTCACTCTTACAATTGTGTATTCACTCATTTATTCACCCACTCACTATGTACTTTGAAGTTTGTCCCATGTATCAGATACTGAAGTAGGCAATATTTAGAATATAAAGATAGACATGATAAGATGGGATTCCCACATTCATGAAACATATAATTTAATAAGTGCAGGAGACAACTAAACAAGGACACTGTGATAAGCAATGGTTCTCTCTTTCAATTAAATCCTCTGATAGCCAATATCTTGGCTTCTTCTACCAGCTTACTGTACCCTTCAGCCAACAACTATCTATGGAAATTGGTAATATGAGAGACAGGATTTGATTCACGAAGGTCAGAGAGTGTCTGCTCAAGGTTGTGGAACTTAAAACAGAGGTCAGAGTGGTGTGGGTGTGATCTAAAGCAGCTGGCTCCTCCCTGGCTCCTCTGTCTGGAAGCTACAATTTCTGGAGATAAGGGAGAGGGTGATCCCTGGGGAAGTAAGGATTATCAACTTCGTGCAAAACAGGCTACTGGGCACCTAATTCCATACAGGAACCACCCTAAGTCTTTCTTCATTTTCACATTATGTCCTTTCTTAGGACAGTAGCCAGGGTTTGGACTGAAACCATCCTGAATCTAAAGTCCTGCTACTAGGTGTGTGCCCTTGACCAATTTCATCATCTGTAAAATGGATGAGGTTACCGGAAGGATTACAGGAAATACCATGCTTGACACTCTTCCTCCCAAAATGTGTTAGGATGTAGTCATGGAAACAACATAAGCCAGATTTTTAAGGAAGGTTTTAATTTCAACTATTCTACTTCTTTAACTCTATAATAACACTTGATTCTTATAGTTTGCAAAATATGCATATGGGAGTGAGGGGTGAAAATATGCTACAGGGAGTCCATTTTGATTTTCACATTGCACAGAAGTCCAAAATGTATGCAGACATTTCGTGGTTTATTCTCAGAAACACTATTTTCTTATGCGAGCATGGCAAAGACCAAAATGCATTTGTTTTTGCACAGCTGGTGGATGAGAATTCCAAAGAATTTCAATATCTGTGCCTTTTCCAGGGGGGAGGAGGGTAAATTAATGTGAAATCAAGCTTTGAAATTTAAAATTGTCATACATGTACAAAGCGGACATATTTGCTGTTTATGGGATAATTTTCTTTTACGCCCACCCATATTATGGATAGTAATCTGCTTTTACCTGAGCAGCTGATTGTAAAAGTTACCTCTAAAAAATACCTCCCAGTTAGGGTATACTAGTGTTATACCCATGACTAGGAACC